GGGGGCCCCGGGGCAGCCCCATGGGCAGGCACAGCATCTTCCAGGCTCGGGGGGGACCGGCAGGAGCAGACGCTCCTCTGTCTTACAGCTGCAGCCTCACCCTTACTTGGGAATAAATAGGAAACTTGTAAGACCGAAGCTGTGACTGTGGGGGCTGGCTGCTCTGCGTGCAGCTCAGAGGTGACCTGGATGCATTCAACCTTGTTCTCGGGGATAAAAATTCAGCTGGTCCCATCGCCCTGGGGAGGGGGCTGCGGGTGGGCTTGTGCCCATTCAGGATCACTCAGTTTCCTTCTTGCCGCCTGGGATGGCGGAGGCTGTGATTCTGCGCCGTTCTTGCTAAAGTTATCCTCAGTCATCTGCCAGAAGGAGCTGTTCTGTGCAAGGGGACGGGCAGAAGCAGAAATGTGGAACCATCAGTGATGGGAGCAGGCTCATCGGCTTTTGCTTCTGTTGCCCCGATGCAGGGCACGTGTTTTCCGGTGTGTTAGTGGCAGCATCGTTTGCCGGTATGCTAATTCTTAACAGAATAGATTTAAAAATAGATCAACGTCTGTTGAATGAAAGCGGAAAGCCAAAAGAGGAAAAAAGTCGTTAGCTACGTAAGCCTGAGCTGAATGTACAGGCCAGACATCCTGTGCTCAGCCTGCGTGTGGAGAGCGCCGGGGAAGGGAGAAATGCGTGACTCAGGCTGCGCACAAAGCGTGAGCCGAGTCAAAGGCTGCAGATAGTGGAGGGGTTGTTCTCGCCGGCGTTTGGCATTCAGGGCTGCGCGGAGGATCATTGCTGCTTCGCTTGGCTGCTGTATGTGGGATGAAAAGGGCGCGGAGCCTCTGCACCGCAGCGCTGCCGCCGCCAAGTTGTTCTGATTCATTTAAGGGAGCGCGAGGTGGCATGGAGGAAAGCTGTTTAGTTCGCCGGCGTTTGTGTTTAATTTCAGCTTAAGGAAGACGAGCGCAACGATTATAATGCACACGCACAAAGGGCCTGTTCCTGCGGTGCCAGGCAGTCCTGGCGGTTTCTCTTTAGAGAGGACAAAATCTCCGTGTTCACTTTGTAATACCCCCTCCACAGACACGGGCCGGGCCAGAAGCAGGTCTGCGCTCCGCACACAGCCGGTACGGCTGCTGGGTTTGGGGATCCAGAGTGCCATTTATTGGATCTGTTTTGGGATGGATCCTGGGCTCACTGGGCCTGCCTTGCTGCTGGCAGTGTCCGTTACTGTGCTGGGACCAAAATGTCCCACCTGCAGGCGCAGCGCCAGAGGTGAAACGGGAGAGCGTGGGGTCACCTTTGCAGGATGCCGCTGGAAGGCGTCTGCTGGGATGCTGCGGGAGGAGCTGGTCCGAGGGGAAAAGCTGCGTGTGGTGGGTCAGCATGTGCAGCTGCCTGGCTGCCTTCTCCTGGGGTCCCGTGGGGCGTTCAGCATGGTTTCAGCTCAAAAGGAGGGTCAGGGCAGCTCGGTGGCTGGACCGGGGAGGCACCGGCTGTGTCTGCAGGCTGGTTTCCCTGGCAGGAGACGTGAGCAGGAGGATTGTGCGCTGAGCCGGCGCGGCGGCTCGCCAACGTGACTGCACGGGGGTGGCGGGGAGCGGGGCTCACTTCGGGATGTAGATGTGTGCAGAGGCTGTGGAGGAGCGGGGAGAGCTGCACGCAGCTCGCCGGGGTGGGGAAGGGGAATAGGCAGCGCGGTGCCGAGGTTATCGCGATGCTCGTACCCAGCAGGGCTGGGCAGCTGGGGGGTCCGCAGTGCAGCCCTTGCCTCTTCCCAAGCAGCCCAAGGCCCTTCAAGCCACCGATTTCTTCATCCTGTGTCATTGTTCCTGCAGGAACGTGTGCTCCGGTCATTTGGCAGCTGGTGGGAGGCTGCGTTGGAGGCAGAGGAAAACGCATGGGGGAGGAACCGCAGCCGCCTGGCTGGGGCCAGAGGGAGCTTGGGGCCGGGCTGTCCCCCCCCAGCCCTTGCTGGGCAGGAGGACCCGCATGGGGTGGGGTTGCTGGGGATGCCCCCACCTTTGGGACTGCTGTACGGGAGGGGTTTTTGCCCTGCGCTCCTCAGCAGGCAGGAGGGGCAGGGGCTGGCTCTGCATCCCTGCGAGAGGCAGCCGAAGCGCTGGGTGCCCCGGGAGCACCCGTGGCCCCAGCAGGTCCCTATGGTGAGGGCTCTGCCCTACAAACCTTCACACTCTTTGTCCTCTGGAGAATTGATTGACCATGTAGCTTTGCCTGCCTTTCTCCTCTGTATGGAGCGATCTCGGTGCCAATGTGAGCCCATCCTGGGCTGGCCTCGGCCCCGGGGCTGTGGTTCCCCAGCGGGGTGCATAGCTCAGCCCAAGCAAGGTTGAAAATCGGGACTCTGGGGCATCATGTGAGTGTTGGAGGAGGGCAGGGATGGGGTTCTTGTGGCAGAGGTGGGCCGGCTCCTTGCCACCCCTCCAGCTCTCGTTCCTTCCTTGGGTCTCTCGGGCTGTTGCTCGGACGCCGCGCTGAGCGTGGCTGTCGGCTCACGCCGGCGATTCGTACCTGCCCCGTACCCAGGGCCTCCCCAGAGAAGGGGGAAAAACCCACCGAGCTTGTAGGAGGAACGGTCCTCCTTCAGAAGATGGCCAAAATCACGGGCGAGCTGCTCAGGTGTCCGTCACCTGTGCCTTCTGTCTCCCAGTATACTCCAGTTCTGCAGCTCTCAGACAGGCTGAGCAGGCGGGCTGTGCTGCAGGCAGGGGCTGTGGCCGAGTGCAGAAAATGAGTGAATCACAAAATTGGAAGACCTGGGCGGGTGGTTCTTCTAATTTCTGTGAAGAAATGGTTGTTCTGAGTGATGGTCACATGCACCGTTCCTTCTTCTCTCCCTGCCCTGCAGCCATCCACAGCAAGCAGAGGTGGTTTGCGTGCTGACTGCTCGTTATTCAAGAAGTAATTACTCACTGCTTGGGTTAGAAACCAGGATGGGCTTATGTCTGTGAGAACGGCGGCTGCAAAACCTTCCGGTGGGAATGTAAAATGCATTTAAAAGGTGCCTTTTGCCCTGACTTTGAAGTCTGTTCTTCTATTCAGGGCTGTCTCGGTGAGGTTTAAAACATCTGAGCCACACAGCAAGTGTAATAAAGTTTTCTTTGGGGTCTGTTAAGGAGGTTTTCCTGGTTCCTAATGGTGGAAAGGCCTGGCAGGCGCTGCCTCGGAGTGTTTTCTGGCTGCACTCCAGGTACATATCCACTGGATTTGTGTTTACTGATGAGTTTTCTGGGGCAGCAAGGCAACGTCTATGTGGAGGGAGCTTTTTTTGCAGTCAGAGGGAGCTTTTTTTGCAGTCTCAGGGAGCACACGGCCCCTCATGATTCATTTCCATGGCTTTTAGTGTCCTGGAGATCAATTATGCAAACCGTGAGCCATCAGCTGAGTCAGGGTTGTTGGCTCGGTGTCCTGGATTAGCCCAGGGACCAGATATTTGCCTGATTTACTTTTCTTCTTGCCAGCCTGTGACTTGCTCGGTCACCAGCAAACATGAGCTGGTTGCAAATGCCCCATGATAGGAACAGCCTTTCCAGGGAGATGCTGTCGGGGCTGCAGGTGTGTGTGGGTCTGTGGGAGTTTGTCGTTGCCATCCCCTTGCCAAACCTCCCCCCTGAAAAACAAGGGCTCGCTCGATGTGACTCCACTCCGCTGCTGCCACCCGTGTGCCAGTGGAGGGGGACAAGCACGTTCCCTGGCAAAGCTCTGCATCACCCATGCCGCTGTTCCCAGGCAGGTTTTCAAACCAGTTCAGTCCTGGTCATCCCAGCATCCCGTTCTGCCTTGTCCCGGGAGTCTTCCTTGCTGAGATGCTGGAGAAGAGGTGCAGATGGGCTGGGCGGAGGTGGCACTGGGTGTTTTCCTCTTTGCCAGCCTGTGTGAGGTCCTGGTGCTCGGTGGGTGTAGCTTTCAGGATGCCTCTGTAGATAAGGAGCTTCCCTGTCCCTTGAGAGCAAAGAAGAGATTAAACAGTAAAAGGATTTAGGGGAAGGGATTGGAGTAAGAGTGATTAAGTCATGGATCAGGATTTGTGATTAAGAAACTCTGACAGCAGCGTGGTGAGCCTGGCATAAACGTGCAGGCAGGATTTCTGCGGGCAGAGGTGCAGGCAGCATGTGGCCGCGTTCCGGTGGGCAGGACAGGAGTCACGGGCAGTTTGTGAGCGAGAGCATCACCCACGTGCAGCTGCTGTATCTGGAGCTCACGGTTTACGGGGGACCCTCCTGGTTCACAGGGGACCTTCCTGACGGCCGGGTGTCTCTGGTGGTGGCAGGTCGGTGCCATGGTGCAGGCAAGGACTGTCTGTGTCGTGTTGGGTGCCCGTCAGGACTGTTGAGGCTCCGCAGGAGAGCGGAGGCTGGCGTGTCAGGGGAGAGCAGCAGCGCTGTCAAACCCGCTCCCGCACCTCGGGGTGCGGTGGCCGAGTCTTGGGGAGCAGTTTGCATCGGGCAGCTTCCCTCTGCCTGGTGCGCATCCAGCTCCACAGCCCTGGCACCGGCTGCCTGTGGGTGGCTGAGCCCCAAATCCCCTCTGCAGCCTGTTACATGCTCATTAATTAAGCACAGCGTCCCGTTCCTATTCACCCCGGGGCCTGCTTATTCATGTTTTATGGTGTTTTCTCGTTGTGCTTCCTTAAATTCCTCCCAGTAATTTTTAGCTCTCCGCCCAGGTCAGCAGCGACTCCCTGTCG